CAGGAATGCGATGGAATGCTCCCCACTTGCCTGGATGAGTGCAGCTCCAACAACACAAGAAACTTGACATCATTCAGGACAGAGCAGCCCACTTGACTGGCGTCACATCCACAAATATCCACTCCCTTCACCACTGAAGCTCAGTGGCAACAGTGTGTATTTTCTACAAGATGTACTGCAGAAATTCACCAAAGATCCTTTCAACAGCGCTTTCCAAACCCATGGCCGCTTCTGTCTTGAAGGGCAAGGGTAGCACATACATGGGAATATCATTCCATGCAAGTTCCCCTCCAAGCCACTCACATCTTGACTTGGGATTTATCACTGTTTCTTCATTGTTGTTTAGGTCAAAATCCAGGAATTCCCTTCCTAAGAGCATTGAAAGTCTAGCTGCAGCACGTGGATAGAGGCTGTTTGAGAAGGCAGCTCTTCACCACCTTAAGGACAAACTAAGGACTGGCAATAAATGCTGGCCCAGCCAGCAATACCCAGGTGTTATGAGTGAATTTTAAAAAAGTTGCCTGATGTATCTAGGGAGATGCTGTTTTGTTTATCTTTACTGTCGTAACTAGAATTTTTATGTATATTTAATACCAAAGAGGGGAGAAAAGGTAGCATCTTCACAATTTGCTACACATACATTTATAACAAAATTCCTTACAAATCTCAGTAGTGCATAAATTGCCAATGTAATTTTTCATGTTTCTTCAGCTCCTAAATCTTCAATGTGCCTATCATTAACTGTAACAATTGTGACACTTGGTTGGCCCCTTAATTACGGCCTCTACTTTACAGACTTTGACATTTAATGCCAGAGAAATCAAAGGACGTATATTTTCATTCATGCTGCTACAGTAACTTAGAACATTACGGTTGCTGCTATTATTCAACATTCCTTCATTTTCAAGGTCTTAGCGATAGCTGTGTGTAAAGGGAGTATAAACCATGACCATGATGTAGCATCGAAAAAAATTACAGTCGATGCTGGTTTAAGAATATGATAAGAACAATCAATTATCTCAGAATGGATCAGAAATACTAGATTGCTTCAGTAATCTCAAAAGCTTCCAGTGCAGAAGTTAGCCATTTGTCTTACGTTAGCTCTCAGAGTAGCTGCAATCAGTCCCAAATCCCTGCCTTTTCTCCCCCCATTCATAATCTTACAATTCCTCACCTTCCATACCTGTCCTTTCAAAACAATTTATAGGATAGATTGCCAGTAACTTTTCAGATGATCATATTCCAGATCTAGAATGTTCAAGGAAAAGAACTAGCTCATCTGTCTTGTAGATAATTTTACACCCATCATTTTGAATTCATGATCTTTACTGACTGACCTAATTTCTGAAGGAATTTTCTCCCCACTCCTTGAAGCTCTACTGTGCCATATTTTGCTTGCTCCAAGGATAAAATCCCCAATATTCCCTCGTAGCTGAGGCTGTTCATTCATATGAACTCTGGATGAATCACCTTTTTCAGATGCAATCAAAGGGCCAGCACTTACTGCCCATCTGAATTGCCCACAGTAACCAATGGTCTTTCCATCTTTTCTGAAGTACGGTACTCAGAACCCTCTCCAGTACTCCAGGTGAAGCTTAACCACCAGGAGATTTATGTTTGAATCACTGGATCACAGAAAATGGATCACATTCAAACAGACAGACAGTCACACAGCCTGCTAGATCAGTGCTGGTTTCACCCTAATCTCACATTTAGGGAATTTTTTTTCAGGCAGGTATTTAAAATCTAAGTTTCCATGTTAGTCCTTCCAAAGTTCAGCACTTCACACTTTTCATTGGATTCCATCTACTACTTTTCTTCCCACTTCACTAATCTATCCATAGCAATCAAAACCATAACAATCCTCATCATGGCCAATGGCACTGCCACCTTTCATAAAATCCACTACCTTTACAAACTTGCTGCATTCCTGACAGTCATATGTAACTTTTGGAGAGGGAAATGGACTCAGATGATCTTTGGGAGAAAACTACTTCCCAGACTAAAGTGAAAAATATCCATGCATCATCATCGCCTGTTAATCTTTTCCCATAACCTCTCCATTTTTCATGTTAACTTTTTCCAACCTCTGCTGTACTTTGCACATTCTTAAAGGTTATTAACAATCTTGCTCCTCGCCTTTGACACAAGTCTCTTTTTCCTGTTTCATTTCGAACTACATTTCTGTCATTATCCAGGGCAAATAAGTTTCGTTTCTCTCCTCTTTTCCTCAAAAAAGGAATATGCATATTTGTAGCCTGCCTAACCTTCTTTCCCTGAATGCCGTCCAAAACGGCTTCATTCTGGATTTCCTTGTTCCCATCCATTCGCACGGACTTCCTATTAATGTCACTAAAATTAGGTCTTGAACAGTTGTGCATTTTCAACCTCAACACCTTCTAGTTTCGTTCCGGCTCACTTCAAGCTGAGCTAAGTTATGATCATAGTTAGCTGGATGATCTCCAATTGTAACTTTGCCCTACTTCATTTCTATGAACCAAATTTGGAATTTCTTCATTCTTTGCTGGACAGAGTGGAAAAATATCAATCAAGCAAGTTCAGGACAAATTCTCCTTTATCTGTATTGTGAAAACTATGTAGTTCCCATTCTAGAGAAAGGAAATTAAAATCTCCTGGTTAGTTAGCTATTCATTTTCATTGTGACTGAAAAGTCATTTTTATTTCAATGGAAGAGAATTGATAACTAGGGGTCCCCGAGTTAAAAACTTGCGACTTGGGAGTGCTTGCGTTTGTGAACGCAGTCCTATACGGGGCTGTAATTTTAAAAATCCGACGACATGCAAACATCTAAATATATTTACGAATGGGTTTTTCACGTTGGTTTGTATTGTGTTCCGGGTTGCGTCCAAATCCACTTGCGAACGCACTTGAGAACGGAACCAATTTGCAACCCAGGGACTGCCTGTATAGTATCCTGGGTGTTTATTTTCTTTCTATCCGGGTGCTCATTGGTTATTAAAAAACAACCAGATACAGTGCAGAATTGAAGTGACACGCTACAATAAACTTGTTCAATTAATGTGGATAAATTATTGGACTTTGTTTCATCAATTATACGTTCTTTTCCCTCTCATCTTAGATGTTGATGTTTAATGAGTGTAATGCAAATAAGCTACACTGCAACTGAAGTCTGAAAATTGGGTGAAACTGTAAAAACTGCTAAACTAAAATAATACTAAACAAAAGGTTCAACCATCTTTTTGACTCGGGCTTAAAAGATCAATTTTAAACCAGAATGGAAAATGCTGGCAACAGACAACCAACTCAACAACATCTGTGAAGAGGAAATGAAACACACTTGTCTTTGTAATAGTGTCTTCCACAACCTCAGGACATCTCAAAGCACTTTACAGCCAAAGTGCCTTTTAAATGTAGCCATTCTTGTAAACAACACATCAGTCAATTTGCACATAAGGTCCCCAAACACAGATGATAGCCAAATAAGTTTTAGGTATTGGTTGAGGGATAAATGGTGGCCAGGATGGTTGGGGAAAACGCTTTCTCCCCTTAAAAATATTGTTCATGGAGCTTTTGTTATGTCCGAGCAGACAAAGCAGTTCTCATTTTAGCATCTCATCCAAAAAGCAACACCTCAAACAAAGAACTGGATCAATCCTCGGGTATTTAAACAAATTCTGAACACACATATCCAGAACTGGATTGAACATTCAGATCGTGAGGCAAGTTGCTACTAGCTGAACCAGGGTTTATCAATATGCATACCTTTCATCAAAAAAAAACAGCATTTCCTTTATAAATGGCCCTATTTTGTATTCTGAGCAATATTTGCATATGTTGAAGTCCTTCAGTGTCTTAAATTTATTTTGCAACCTAACCAATTTATATATTTAATGCTTCTAATGCACAATATTCTTATAAATGCAGGTTCATTCAATTATTTGAAATTTGAATTAGACTTCCTAGAGAGTGTGGAAGGAGGCCATTCGGTCCATCAAATCCACTCCAACACTCTGAACAGCATCCCACCCAGACCGTCTCCTTACCCTTTCCCTGCTAATCCATCCAGATTGCATATCCCTGGACACTATGGGGCGATTTAGCATGACCAATCCACGTTTGGACTGTGGAAGGAAGCCAGAGCACCCTTTGGAAACCCATGCAAACCATGCAAAAAAAAAAAAAATGCAAACTTCATTCGGACATTCGCCCAAGGCTGGAATAGAACCTGGGCTCGTGGCAATGTGAGGCAGCAGTGCTAACCACTCGGTCACTGTGACATCAGGAAGCTCTTTGTCCTTCTACAATACGTTACCATATTTCACAATGTTTGTTGTGATATAACAAACATTAGTTTCAGATCACAAATAAATTAGCTTTACACTACATTACTTCAGATGTATAAATTCCAACATTTCCCAACAAATGACAATTAGTTAAACTATTTTTCAGATGAGGAGGATAAGACGATATCATGTATGCAAGCAACACAGGGAATGCACACAATTGACAGAGCAAGTAGGAGAGGTGGTAAAGATAGGGATACATATATGTAGCATTAGTATTTCATATTAATATAACACTTTAGAGAGATCAGGTACCCCAAATGCTGTCAAATGTGCAACTTTTAAAGGTACAGTATTTGTTGTCATCTAGGAAAACAGTAGTCATTTTGGAAACATTAATATCCCACAGCCAACAGTAAACCAAGCTTAGTTATGTTAATTCAGCAATAAATATTAGCCAGAACACTAGTAACAAGTTCTCTGTTTTTCAAAAGAGTGCACCCTGGCATTTTACATTCAGTCAAGGGCACCATGAGTCCTTGGTTTAATGCCTTGCTGATAAGACAATATTTTTCAACAGTGCAACACACTCAGTATCACACCAAATGTCAGCCTGGGCACAGATGGAGATGTGAACATCAAACAGCTTGACTCAAAGTCAAAATTGTTGTCAATTGACAGTTGATACCTAGAATACAATTCAACCAAATGCTCATACAAAGTCAAAACACTTACTTGCTTTTTCCTTTATACACTGTGGCATAGGACCCTTCCCCCAGTTTTTCTAATTTTTCATAGGAGTCAGCTTTTCCAAATTTAGGGCTTGTTGGCTAAAAGGGGAAGAAAGGGAATAGATTTGAATAAACAGTTTTAAGTTTCAGAAGTTTAACAATTTTATACTTCAGAATTACTTCAAAATCTACCAAAATAATTCACACTTAGTGGTGACATCATTAATCAAGATAAAAGTAGCAATCTGAACTGCATAAAAATAGAAAGAATAACATTGTTACCTCGCATAACTGTGACAATTTCAGTTCTTTCTAAAATTGACACTAGGTCAATTATGAATGATAGAAATCTGAAGTGGAAGCAGAAGATACTGGAAAGGTGCAGGTTGGGGGTTAAAGGTGGCGATTCTGGTAGCAGCTATAATCAGGCCCAGGGATCCTCTAAATGGACTAAAGGCAGCTAAACATCGCCGTCTGGTCTCTGGGACTTGGCTCTATTTGATTTCTTAATGATTGTGTCATGTAGCCCCCACCACACTCTCAATCTCAGCTCCCCACAATGCATCCCCATACATTCCAACTAATACCATGAGCCACACCCAATGGCCTCTCATACCCTATGCTCTCATCCGACCCCAGTAGCCCTTTATTAGCCATGTCAACATGGTGCAAACTGATGCCAATTTATGGCCCCCAATCACCACTCTTTCTTTTAAGCTGTATTCCATTGTTTTCTCTCTCCCTCACAAAGGGCAAATATCCTTTCAACATCCACTCTGCCATTCCTCTCAGGTTCTGATATGTTTCAATAGGATTGCCTCACTTTTCTGGACGCCAATGACTACAGGCTCAAGCTGCCCAACCTTCCCTCAAATTGATCCAAAAGTACCAGCAATTGTCAAGTGAACCCCTCAGAACCCCTTCTAAAGAAGTTATTTCCCTTCTGAAATAAGGAGACCAAAACTGTACATAGTACTTCTGGTGCGATCATACCATTACCCTGTACAAATGTAACAAAGCATCCTTATTGTTATAGCTCATTTTGCTTGCAATGATCATCATATTGGACTTCCTAATCTGTTATTTTACCTTGTATACTAATATTGTGATTAGTGTACCAGAAGCCTTTTATATCACAGAACTCTTCAATATTTCTCATTTAAATCATATGCTGTTTTGATTCTTACTGACAATGAGGACTAGTTCAGTTTCCCACATTATGTTCCATTGGCCACATTTTTGCCCAGTCATTTAAAGAGTCTACAGGGATATAAAGTGATTATGTCCTTTTGACAACTTCGAATTCTATCCTTGAATTATCAAGAAATGTAGCAACCACACTTTCAAGCCTTTCACAAAAGTCATTCATACAGATTATAAATAGTTGAGGCACCAGCACTAATCTCTGTGGCAGGCCACTAGTTACAGCTTATCAAGCTGAAAATGACCCATTCGTGTCTGTCTGTTTCCAGACAGCCAGGAAATCCTTTACCAATTTCAGAATGTTACCTCTAAACAATGAGTTCTAATTTTGTGTAACAGCCTTTGATGTAGCACCTTGTCAAGTGTTCTCTGGAAACTTCAGTACATCACATACACAAATTCCCTTTTTCTCCCCCCTCCCCGCCCGCCATGTTGCTTGTTACTTCCATAAAGAACTCCAGTAAATTGGTCAAATATGATACTCCTTTCACAAAACCAAAACCAAAATCATGTTACAGTGGGATTCAAGTGTCCCATTTTGACCTCTTTAATAATAGTTTACAGTGTTGACCCCATTACTGTTTTTCTTCATTTTTGGTTTGAAACAGAGCTAAAGTTGAGAGTTAACCTTTGGACTTTAAGCAGCAGCTTGTGTTTTTACAGAAGAGTGTGAAGGACAAACAAACTGATAATGATTTCTGGGAACCAGCCAAGAAGGTTAATTGCAGGTTAATTATTGTCCTAAGAACACCGTAGAGATTTCTGCACCCAAGATGCATTATGTTCAAGGATAAGCAGATGCTTCTATACAAGAAGGGCCATCAAAGGCAGGTCAGTGCTGACCAGTCAGTCAAAGAATGTTGAAACAAAAAGAAAAACTATACACATCTGTTTTTTGTTAGGCAGAAGGCAGTGTGGCTATGAAAGCTGCTGGACTGAGTTTTGTTTGCTCTATAGTTATCCTCCAGTTTTCAAGTTATTGAAAATTTTGAGAAAAGAATCCCAGTTGAAGGAATTAGTGATTATTCCTCAATGCATGCTGGGAAACTGTTTGCATGAATTGGTGACTTTAAAATTTAAGCAAGACGTACAGCTTATTTGCTTGTGAATAATTCCGTGAACTAAGGATTTCTGAAAGGCCTGGTTCGCATCGCAGAACCGTTGAACTGGCAAATTACAATTCTTTTTCTTTTAATTTATTCCTTAACAATGTCTATCTAAGAAAGAGTGTGGGAATTGTGAACAAAAGAGACGGGGTTTAAAGCACAGACATTAGACTACCTTGCTGGTTAACTTTGTTCTGCTAAAGTTACAGTCTTAACAATAAATAGTTTGTTTATTTCTGTTTAAGCTACAAATTTGGTTTCAGATATCTAATGTTCATTGTAAAGTCTGGTTAGGAACAGATGAGTGATTGAGGGTCACTGAATGTTTTAATTTTGCTGCATTGCAAATCCAGGGATAAGGAGGCTAAATTGGTTCAGCTTGCTGTCCCCATGTCGTAACAATAGTACCTTCCTCATGAAAAACTATCTGCCGATATTATCCTTTTGTGTCCCTACTTTCTTTAATAGAAGTTACGCTTGTTATTTTCTAATCAGATGAGACCTTTCCAGAATCTAGGGAATTTTAGAAAATTGATATCAAATGAACCTCCTACCTCACCAGCTTTGAGACCCTAGAATGAAGTTCATCAGGACATTGGGACTTTCAGCTTTTCTGATGAAGGGTCTGGGCCCAAAGCGTCAGCCTCTCTGCTCCTATGATGCTGCTTGGCCTGCTGTGTTCATCCAGCCCTGCACCTTGTTGTCTCGGATTCTCCAGCATCTGCAGTTCCTACTATCTCTGATTCAACTTTTAGATATAATAATTTAAACAGACCCTCTCTTTGGGTGATTTGAATAATTTTCATTTCCTCCTTCCCTACTACTTTTTGATTTACAATTATTTCTGGCATGGTCCTTGTCCCAGTCTAAAATGATTTTGTGTTTATTTTCTTATTTTTACACTATTTTCCCCAGATCCATATTGAGGGCCACTGCTCTCAATTTTCTAATCAGCTTCCTCTCATTCTCTAATCTCTCCCATGATTATACTTTCAGCCATTCCTTGTTGCATTTAATATTCTGTCCAACCTTCTGACTTGCCAATAATCTTCATGAGTTGGAATAATTTTTTTCTTACAATTTGATACTAACTTCCTAGTCACCTACAGATTGTTCATCTGTCTACTTAAATTTTCCTCTCTCACCGGAATGCATCTTCACTGATCATTCGGACAGAATTTGAGGAAAACCGTTTTCATTCAGGGTGGTAAGGGCCTGGACTGCGCTGCCTGGGAGGCTAGTCGAGGCAGGAAACTTCACACCCTTCAAGTTTTTTTTTGAAGCAGCACCTGAAGCTTCATGACATTTCTTGGCTATGGGCCTTATGCAGGCAAGAGGGACCAGTGTAGTATATTTGTAGTGACACAGACTCGATGGGCCAAAGAGCATCCTCTGTGCTGTGTGGTTCTATGATTTCCTTATACCACATAACTGTTCTCACCTACCCCTTAAATTTCAGTTAACTTCAATCAGCACTGTCTATGTTTGAATGCTGTATCCTTTTAAGTTTTCAGGGGCTATACCAAGATAAAGCAAAACAAAAATGGAAAAATTTCAAGACATCTATTATAGACTTCATTGTGTCTATAGGTTTTAACTTTCATGATAATACATTCAATACACCTAAAAGCTCAAGTATTTAATCCCTTATAAAATTGTGGATTCATAACTCTCCATACATAGAGTCAGAGTAATACACCATGAAAGCCAGCTCTTTGGTTCATGGTGCCCACTCAGCTAGTTCTAATTGCCCGCATTTGGTCCATATCACTCTAAAACACTTCCAATCCATGTACCTATCCAAATGTTTTTAAAATGTTGCTTTTGTACCTGCCTCAACCACTTTCTGTGGCAACCCATTCCATATACGCACCACTCTCTGCATGAAGTTGCCCCTCAGGTCCTCCTTAAATCTTTGCCCTCTCACCTTAAACCTGCGCCCTCTAGTTTTCAATTTCCCATCCCTGGGAAAAAGATTATATGCATTCATCATATCTACGCCTCTCATGATTTTTTAGTCCTCAATAAGGTTACCCCTCATTCTGCTATGCCTTTCCTGTAACGTGGTGACCAAAACTGTACACAGTGAGGTATTCACCAGCGACTTGTACAATTATATCATAATGTCCCAACTCCTACGCTCAATGCCTTGACCGATGAAGGCGAGCATGCTAAATACCTTCTTAACCACCCTGTCTACCTGTGACACCGCTTTCAATGAACTATGTACTTGTACGCCTAGGCCCATCTATTCCACAACACTCCTCAGGGCCTTACCAGTTATTGTCTAAGGCCTACCTTGGTTTGACTTTCCAAAGTGCAACACCTCACTTATCTGTATTGATTTTCATTTGTCAATCCTCAGCCCACTTCCCCATCTGATCAAGATTCCTCTAATTTTTAATAATCTTCCTCGCTATCAATGATACTTCCTAATTTTGTATCATCCGCAAACTTACTGATCACGCCTTGTATATTCAAATCCAGATCATGTATGTAAATAGCAAATAACAAAGGCCCCAACACTGACCCCTCTGGCGCACCACTAGTCACAGGCCTCCGATGTGAGAAACAACCTTTACCCATCACCTTCTGCTTCTCACCATCGAGCCAGTTTTGAATCCAATCAGCCAGCTTTCCCTGGATCCCATGTGACTTAACCTTCACGATTAGTCTGCCATGCGAGACCTTGTCAAAGGCCTTTTTAAAAGTCCATATAGACAATATTGACTGCCCTACCCTCACCTATCCTCTTGGTTACCTCTTCAAAAAAAATTTGGCAGACATGGC